CTCCTTGGATCACCTCAGACTGCCTCAGACCACCTCAGACTGCCTCAGACTGACTCAGACCTCCTTGGATCACCTCAGGCCGCCTCAGATCTCCTTGGATCACCTCAGACTGCCTCAGACCACCTCAGACTGCCTCAGACTGACTCAGACCTCCTTGGATCACCTCAGGCCGCCTCAGATCTCCTTGGATCACCTCAGACTGCCTCAGACCGTCTCAGACTGCCTCAGACCACCTCAGACTGACTCAGACCTCCTTGGATCACCTCAGGCCGCCTCAGACCATCTCTGACCGCCTTAGACTGCCTCAGACCTCCTCAGACTGCCTCAGACCACCTCAGACTGCCTCAGACCTCCTTGGATTACCTCAGACTGCCTCAGACCACCACAGACCACCTCAGACTGCCTCAGACCACCTCAGACTGTCTCAGACTGCCTCAGACCACCTCAGACCACCTCAGACCACCTTAGACGGCCTCAGACGTCCTTGGATCACCTCAGACTGCATCAGACCACCACAGACCACCTCAGACTGCCTCAGACCACCTCAGACCACCTCAGACTGTCTCAGACTGCCTCAGACCACCTCAGACTGTCTCAGACTGCCTCAGACCACCTCAGACTGCCTCAGACCTCCTTGGATCACCTCAGACTGCCTCAGACCACCACAGACCACCTCAGACCACCTCAGACCACCTCAGATTGTCTCAGACTGCCTCAGACCACCTCAGACTGTCTCAGACTGTCTCAGACTGCCTCAGACCACCTCAGACTGCCTCAGACCACCTCAGACGGCCTCAGACCACCTCAGACTGTCTCAGACCACCTCAGACCACCTCAGACCACCTCAGACTGTCTCAGACCACCTCAGACCACCTCAGACCACCTCAGACTGTCTCAGACTGCCTCAGACCAACTCAGACCACCTCAGACTGCCTTAGACTGCCTCAGACCACCACAGACCACCTCAGACTGTCTCAGACTACCTCAGACCACTTCAGACTGCCTCAGACCACCTCAGACTGCCTCAGACCACCTCAGACTGCCTCCTCCAAATGTCCCACAGACTTTAATTTTTTTTATTACAAATCCAAGCTTTTAAAGAGCATGGAGACTGAGTCACCTTTCACTTCATAGTTTTCTGTTTCTTCTGTACATCCTCTGCTTTGAAAACAAGTAGCTTGGCGATGAATATGAACTGAAGATTTAGAAGCCTTTATACTTTTCAGAATATTTAACAATATTTATTTAAAATAACATTCCCAATAG